TGTCACATACCGGGAGCAGGTGGTCGAACCTGCGCAGGGTGTTCTCCCCACAGTCCCACAGCTGCAATCGGAAGAACAGGACCCTGCCGTTCTCTCTCAGCTTAACCGGCCAGAACACCACTGTCGTCTGCACCCCTGTGGAGGGCAGGGAGGGGCAAGACAAGTCACAGCTCACAACTCCGGGTCGAACGAAAACAGATAGGTGGGCCAGAGAAGCTGAAACTAAGTGCTGTTTTGTTTTTACTGCTTTTAAAGTCCTGATTGTGCACGTTATCTATCAGTCTGCTGCACCAGGGACAGAGCAGACTGAGTCACATCAGTGGTGTGGTACACTGGGACAGGCAACTCCAGTCCTCAAGGCTGACTGGTAATGCACCTGGCAATCTGAGTTACTGTTAAACTAACTGGCTCGAATAAGATCCGAATGGGAACCAAAAGCCCTTTGGCCCGGGCCCTCGAGAACTTGAGTTGTTCACCCCAGGTCCAGAGTTTTGTAAGGCGATTCTGTAAAGAGTTCAGTGCCCAGCTGTTCTGAAGGCCCGACGCCCAGCACTCACCTGTGGTCTCGTGGTGCATGCTGGGTACAGGCAGGCCGGCCAGCCTGGCCGCCAGGGCGGTCTTGCCCACTCCGCTCTTGCCCGAAAGGAAGATCTTGTAGCTCACGGTGTCGGCAGCCAGCAGGGGGCGCAGCACAGGGGCTTCCAGGAGCCCTGCGGGGGCACCGAGTGTTAAATGAGGCGCCGACCTCTGAAATCCATTCACTCATCCAGCATCTCCATTGTAAACACAGACCTGACACGAGCGCTGGGGCTTCAGCCTGATCCCCAGGACAGCCTGGCGTCTCCAGCTTCCGAGCCGCACAACTCAGACTTGCCAGTTAGACTATCAACCTCGTCACTTTCACGGCAAGACAAGGACTTTTCTTAGGGCCTCCGACATCTGTATGTCAGCCCAGGCCCGACATGAGACTTCGGAGCCTGGCTTTAAGTGTCAAGGTCTGGACCTAATGGAACAACTATCATCACCGTCAGCGAGTGAAGAGCTGGGGCTACCAGTGCCCAGACAGTACCTCAGTCCAGGAGACGGTAAACCCACCGAGAACAGCTCTGTGCTTTGATTCGTTACTTCCTTTCTCTTTATCAGAGACACTTTTGACCGAACACGGCTGTTGCGCTGCGTACCGAACCGTTTCCTGACATTTCTGCGCTGGATCCTGCTGAAGTGCTCCTTGCTGTCGGCGCAGCGATGCCAGTCCAGAACCACGAGCGAACCGGGCACAGGGGTCGGGTCCATCTTCCGACCGGCCCAGGGGAAGAAACGCGGGTGCCTGTCGACAGCAACTGCGGGGCACTCAGGACCAACCGAGAGGGCAGCTCAAGACTAGGGACAGCTCGGCCATTAGCCCTCTGTAGCTGGTCCGCCACCTTCAACAGCGCTTCTGACCCGTCCTGGTCACCACAGCCCAGAGACACGCAGCCCACAGGCTCCTAACTGGCCCCACTCACGAGTTCACCTGGAACGATAACAACATGCCCCGTGTCCGAATGAATCATGTTTATCATGTGTTTCCGACTCAACAGAGTACACTTACCTTTCATTTTATAAACTTTAAAACGAGAACAGGAAACTGCCGTATAACTTACTATCGCTTTCAGCAAGATTGAACTAGATTCTTTTTCTTTCTTAAACTCTAAAAGGTACCGAAATCGCGTTTGACTAAAAATAAAAACTCGTTCTCACCAACTTAGCAGCAAGGCGTCTGGGCGTGACGTCATATCTACGCGCCCGTCCCCAGCAGGCAACTCGGGGTTGCTATAGCAACCAGGTGGCCGTGTTTGGAGCCGTTTTACACCACTCAAAAAAGGGAGCAGTGTAAAACCGAAGTACACTATATATAGTATATGTGGCCTTTTTAGATATTTGTAGCTGTATCTTTGATTCCCCATTTACTCAAAAAGTTTCAAACCAATGCGACTTGTGATCAGTGACTGTGCTTATGCTTTCAAGCACTAGATCAAAATCTTAACCAAAGATTTAAATCTTATCCGTTATGCAAATCTCATGTAAGTGACGCGAAGATCTGTCATCAATTAATTCATTTATTTATTAATATACATTAAAACAATCACTTATTCACAACAAGTTAATTAAATATATAGTCAAGGGGTGGCGTGTCAGGTGACCAATTTCCGTAGGCCAAGGAAGAACCGTCACAGAAATCTTCCAGGTGTCTGCTGCTGTAAAACAGGAAAAAGAGTCGTGGCAGCTCATATCCAATTAAGTGTCACTGTTACGTCTATGCACTCGGAGGAAGCAATGAAGTAAATAACCTTAAGACTGTCAAATTCATATAAATGTTCTCTTAAAAAGAGCATAATGCACTAGAAACACCTCGGTTAAGAATGTTGTGTACAATGATCACACCCCAACCCATTACAAAGTAGGATTAACTGGAATCAGTCCAGATAAAAGCATATTCCTAGTCCCGAAGAGAAGCTCCACACCAACTACAAGGAAACCCCAACAGAGGACAAGTAGAAACTATGGGGAACACCAACAACAGAAGGCACTTCTTTACACAAAGGGTGGTGTGTCCAGAACACACTACCCAGTCATGTTCTTAAACCCTGACCTCTTTCAAGCAACAGCTGGATGAGATCCTGGGAAGAACTGGCTACCATGAAACAATCTGGATGAACTGAGTGGATTCCAGTGTAGCTGGAGTATCTGCACTCTTGATGTTCAAATTCCCAGTCCAGGGGTGCCCAACTTCCATCCCCAGAGCCCATGATGTTTCAGCCCACACCCTGGCTCAGCTGAAGAAACAGCAGCCCTCTCCAGAGAATCCACTCCAACAACAAGGAGGGGCAGGATCTGCCTCAGACCTCCCCCACTCTTTGTGCAGAGGCGCTCCAGTTTACAGTCCTAGCTGCCCTACCTCAGGCCTCTTCATCCAGGTCCTTCAGCAGGGAAACGGCTGTGATCCACTGCTCCTTGTCAGCACTGCAGACAGGCAGATTAAATCAGGACACCTCGATATTCCAAGGTCATTTACACAACATTCTCCGCACTGAGAGAACCGAGACCTCCTGGAGCCTCAGACTGTGGATAAACATGCTTCAGCTTGAGGCACAGTGTGTGAAAGCAGATTTTGATACTTTAAGGTCCTGAACTACGGGCGCCTGTCCGAACACGCCCGAGGAGACGCTGGGTGTGCGCGGCTCGACGGCGTGCAGTCACTGCCCACCTGCTCGGGGGCTGCAGGATGAGGGCGGTGGGGGTGCCCGTGTGGCTCCGGGCGATGTGCAGCAGGAAGGCCTCACCGGGCAGGCCCAGCGGCGCCACCTGCAGGCTCTCCGCCCTGACCCGACAGGGGTTTGCGTAGTCCAGGACTCGGAACCGCCCCTCCCTGCAGCAGGCCAGAGAGACACCCCAGTTCACAGCTTCCACGGCCCGTCTTCGCCTCGTAAAACCAAAAATACCGGGGGACGTGGGTGTGCCACATTCCTCCTTCACTAAGTCCCAGACGGGATAATGTGATATTGTGGAACAAGACTGTGCTCCAATATGCCTTCTGGGGGCCCCCCTCCACTTATACCCCCCCAAACCACCCAAATGACACCCCAGGTACTTACGAGGCATTGTTTTTTGGGTCTAACACAAGATCGCACAATACAACCCACAAGTGGCCCCAGGATTCGGCTCGCTATTGCGAGCGAGGGCAGTGTCCCGTCGGGACCGCCAGGGCTGAGCACCCCACACGTCACCGACGTGCTACAGGTTTTTAATGCGGCTCATGACTCTTTAAGAGCACAGGTCAGAGGTCAGAGGCCCCAGGTCTCGGCCAGGCGTACTCCCTGTGCGACAGCAGCAGCAGGTCGTTGAAGAGGTGCAGGTAGACGGCTCTCCGCGTGATACTGGCCGTCCCGGGACACTCCTGCACGGTCACCTCCTGCAGCTCCCCCTCCCGCACCAGCCAGCGCCCCCTGGTGATCAGGGGGACAGCCTGCGGGACACAGGGCAGAAAGCGAGCCCGCGAGATACTTCACTCACACTCGAAATGGCGCACGAGGCGCGATCGGCGTTTCAGCTCCCTCGGGCTCTGGAAGGCGCAGGGGCAGCAGGGAACCAGCCAGGAGCTGGACAATCCCAAAGGAAAAACAGGCCAATTCCGTTGCATCCGTACCTTGACCCTGCCGAAGTCCACGCGCGCCTCCAGGCGCACCAGCTCCTCGGTCTGCTTCATGCGGAGCACGCCGTCCTCGCAGCGCCCCGCGATCTGCAGGCACACGAGGGCGCGGCGTCAGGGCGGGGGGCTGAAGGGGCGCCCCTCGGCCGTCACCGGCAGGCCCCACGGGGGCATCAACCCCCCCCCCCACCTGGTGCACGGCCGCGATGGCCTCCTGCAGCGACGGGCTGGTCTCGGACCCGGGGGGGCTCAGCTTCCGGATGTTCTGGAAGACAGCGGGCGCGTTCATCCAGATTCACGTTTCCAGACCCGCAGAGCAGAAGCGCCCCCCTCTCCGCCCTCCGGACGCGTGGTGAAGGGTCAGACGTGCTCTGCGCCTCTGCAGGTCTCACAGTAGATACCGGGTTCGGGTTCGCTCCGGGCCCGTGCGGCCCGGCTGACCCACCTCCAGCAGGATGCGCAGCCGGGTGATCCTCTGGAAGGGCAGCACCAGGAAGGACTTCAGGCTCTGCCTCTGGCACACCGGGTCCTGCTCCAGTTTCCTCAGCGCCGCCACGAACCGCCCGTTCCCCTGCCTGCCACAGGACAGCCCGCGGGCGCCGGTCAGCGCGTCCCCAGGGTCCCCCCAAGACCCCCTCCCCCACGACCCCGCTGGAGCGGGCCTTGGCCGACCTCCATCCTCCAGCGGTCAGTTCAAGAAGTCACCCAGCCGAAGCCCAGGTGCTCCTGCCCTGACGGGGGAGGCCAGCGCCGGGAGCTCACCACAGCCGCTGGCACAGGGCCTCCTGGTACATCTGGTTGGTGACGTAGGGAATGTAGACGCGGCCCAGGGCATCGCGGTGCCGCAGCACGACGGCACTGAGGTCGGAGATCAGCACACTCTCCTCCAGCCTGGACTCGAGGTCCAGCAGCAGGCTGGTCAGGCAGAGGGACAGAGGGGTGAGCACAGGGACACGGACAGGCGGTCAGGCAGAGGGACAGAGGGGTGAGCACAGGGACA